GATGAATAGGGGCAGAGGGCTGAGTAAAGGGTGGGAGGGAATTGATGAGAGGGGCAGGGGACTGATGAAGGGGTGGTAGGAATTGATAAAGGGGTGGGAGGGGATTGATGAAGGGTAAGGGGTGGCTAGGAGTTTGACGAAGGGATGGCCAGGGCATTGATGAAGGGGAAGGGGTGGCCAGGAGTTTGATGAAGTGGTGGCCAGGGGCTTAGTGAAGATCTGGCCAGGGATTTTGGTTAAGAGGTGCAGTGGTTTTGTAGAAGGGGGTGGAGGCAACAGATTGTGAATGCTCCTAAAATAGTTTGAAGGGGTCCAAACAGAGACAGGTGAGGGGGGGGGGGCGCCACAAGATTGTTTCGCACAGGGCGCCTGAACACCTAAGGCCGGCCCTGGCTGCAGTAACTAAATAAAATGAATATAAACAAAGCTCCAGGGCCTGACGGTATTCATCCATGAGTACTTAAGGAGCTAAGTGTAGAAATAAGTGAACCTCTGTTTTTAATCTTTTAAAATTATTTTCTTTCAGGAAGTGTTCCGGAAGATTGGAGGAAGGCAGAAGTGGTTCCTCGATTCAAAAAGGGTTCAAAATCCTTGCCTGGAAATTATAGACCTGTGAGCTTAACTTCTGTGGCTGGAAAAGTATTTGAAAGGCAATATTCAAGAATTCCTTGAGAAGAACGTGGTTATCAGCAAAATCAGCATGGTTTTATGAAGCACAGTGTAATGGATCACCTGGTACCCCGACTGGGTACCTCCGTTGACGGATGCTCCTAGTGCTTCCCGAGGGTGTCCAAGCACTCCACTTGACACCATAAGCACTGCAGACCTCATGAACCACAGCAGCTTAGTCAGGGTCTCGCCATCTCCTACCCAGCCTGAAACCTATGACAAGGCTCCAGTGTGTGAACCTCTCTTTCCCCAGAGACTAAAGCAGGAACAAGCTCTTACAAGAGCTTAATGATTATTCAAGGGAGTATGAAGAGCATAGCAATCCCTTGTAGCTGTTTCCCCCAATAATAGATAGGACTCTAAATTGAGGGTGAAGTAGAATGGAAGGTTTAATGGTACAGCTGCTCTTTTATACAGTTTTTCCTCACAAGGTTACAGCACTGATGGACATTGTGGGGCACAGGACATGAAATTCACAATCCAATAAAAAGTTTTACACTTGAACATTTCCAGTTACTGTACACAAACCTTCCCCTCTGCCTGTGATACAATTAACAAAGACAATGGACTAACTCAATTACCTTTAGCCAAAAAACAACAACACATTTTTACACACCCCAAAATACAACATATCCCCTGATAGCCCCACTCTGGAACATATCAAAAAAATCACCCATATCGGTCCAGGGATTCAGGAATTTACTGGAAGTCTTATTTTTGCCCCACCGTGCACATGGTCCCATACACAAAACAGTTCCATACACTTAACGGCAAAACCCTGCTGGACAATTTAAGATGGCCGCTGCCACATGTTTGAATCTGTTCCAGTTAAAAGTCCAAGGGGCAGAAACAGTACTTTTGAACATGGGTTATCATGGGGCCCATAGTCCCAGGGTAGGAGACTGGCAAACAGGCCCCTCCAAAAACCATTTGCAAAGTTTCTTTCGTCACACACAGGTCATGTCAAACTAACCTGATTGCATTCTATGAAGAAGAATAGATCAAGGTGTTGCAGTGCATGTGATCTATTTGGATTTTGCCAAGGCATTTGATACAGTTCCACACAACAGATTAGTGTTCAAACTCAAAGAAATTGGTCTAGATGAACATTCTTGTTCTTGGGTAGAACATTGGCTTAAAAATACAGAGAGTTGTCATTAATGGTAAATTTTCAAGCTGGATAGAGGTGTCATGTGGTGTCCCTCGGGGTTCTTTTCTGGGACCCCTTTGTGACTGATCGCCTGGTACCCCGTGTAGTATTTTACCAAACTCTATAAATTATTATATAAACATACACATTTAAACTATGGTCCGTCTACTTTAACAAATATTTATTCAGAGACAAAACAACAACATACAAATAATGACACACAATTTAATTATACCAACAACAACAAACAATCTAACTTACAATAACTACTAAATCTTATAAAGTCACCAGATCTCACTCACATTATCACCATTATACAAATTAGCCCATGTCTGCTCAGTAGCACAGCCAAGAAGGAACAGGGGGGGAAGTGGTTCTCTCTTTCCTGACTTGTAAAGGTATTGAATTACCTAATTGCCATATCAAAGGATAAAGCCCTGTAAGAAAGGCATTCATGAGCTTGGTCACCATATTAGTTTGATGACAAAATGTCACCACACCCAGACTGGATACCTCCTTCAATCGCCGCTTCCTAGTAATCCTTGAGTACCATAAGCACAGCACCGGACACCATAAACCCCACAAACCACCGCAGCATGGTTGGGGTTTGCTGTCCTCCACCCACCCTGGACCCAAGACTAGGATCCAGCTTCCAGTGGGCAGACTTCTTACAAGAGCAATCTTTGTGATCCAAGGGAGTATAGTGATTATAGCAAACCCCAGAGTGAATATAGCTCTCTATTACACCCAAATATGAGCCAAAACTTCATGAATGGTAAAATGAATCTCTTTAATGGCAGCCACAACTGGTCTTATATGCGCTCCACCAGACACCATCAGCACTGTAGTCCCAACTTCCAGCGTTACAGCTTGGTTTGGGTCTCGCTGTCTTCCACCCACCCTGGACCCAAGTCCAGGGAGTAGACCTCTCCTCCAATAGACTGTAGCAATATGCTTTTAAAAGAGCAAGTGATTATAATCCCAAGGGAGCATAGTGATATAGCAATCCCCAGAGTGAATATAGCTTTCCCCTCCACACATGACATGAGGCTATGTTGAGGGTGAAGAGGGACTTCTTTATTGGTAGCCACAATTGGCCTTATATGCAAGTCCTCATGCAAGGTGCACTCCCCCCTGGACTTGAGAGTAAGCCCCAATGGAAACAAATACACCATGACATTGACTCTCAGATCCAGGACACTCCCATACATAATGAGACAATCCTGCCTGTGCCTGGGAGATAATGGAGTGGAAAAAAAACCCACACATTTCAGCAGTACCTCAAAAGTACGCCCAAAACCCATGGAAACCCTATTATAGTCATATCTCCAGATAGGCCCGATCTGGGGGACCAACATATCTAAATATCACCCAGATCAGTTCAGGGGTTCAGTTCCATGGAAGCCCCAGCGATGTTCACGATTATAGTTTCATGCACTCGACAACCAAACACTGTGGTATGTGTTCGCGGCTAAAGATGGACGCCGCCACGTGTTCACACAAATGAACAACGGCCACCCAGCTAACCACTTAGAACGTTGCGGTTAGCGAGGTCAAAGGGGTTAATAAGCAGCACAGGACTGTTTTGGGTGTTCGGTATACGATCAGCATTAGTCTGATCCGTTCAGCAAGCCCCAAATACCGAACGATACAGTACAAAAGGCACAAAGCCTTTTAATAGTAGTGGACCAAAGTCTAACACATGGGCCATAGACCTTAGGCAAGAGGTTGGCAAACAGGCCTCTCCAAGAACCAGTGGCGAGGTTCCTTTCACCACAACAAAATATGCAACAATGTGCAATGTCAATCGGGAGTGGCAAAGGCCAGTAAGGTATTGTCATGCATGAATAAGGGCATTCATTCTTGGGATGAGAATACCATTTTGCCTCTTTATAAATCACTGGTAAGACCACATCTTGAATATGCTGTGCAATTTTGGGCACCTGTTCTAAAGAAGGATATTATGGCACTAGAAAAAGTGCAGAGGAGGGCTACAAAATTAAGAAAAGGAATGGAATATTTCAGCTATGAAGAAAGGTTAACAAATTGAAACCTCTTTAGTTTAGAAAAACATTGCCTCAGAAGGAATATAACAACATTAAACAGATATATCCGATGCCAATACACACCATTGTGTGAAAATCTATTCACAAACAGGACTTTACATAGGACACAAGGTCATGCATTTAGACTGAAAGAAAGAAGATTTTGTCTAAGGCAAATCAAAGTTTTTTTTTTACTGTAAGAATAAGGATATGGAATTCTCTCCCTGAAGAAGTGGTTTTATCAGAGTCCATACAGATGTTCAAACGGCTACTAGATGCATACTTGCAAAAACAGAATATTCAAGGATATAATCTTTCAATGTAGGGTGTGTCTTGATCCAATGATTAATCTCACTGCCATTTTGGGGTCAAAATTTAATTTGTACCCCTTAGTTTGCTGCAAAATTGGAAGTGCTTCAAACTGTTTATTTGCCTTCTTTTGGATCAACAGCAAAAACAAATATTAGGAAGGCTGAACTTGATGGACACCAGTCTCTTTTCAGCTATGTAACCATGTATAGCTCGGAAGGGTTATGATTAAACATATGATTAAAGTCCTTTGAAAGTCACTATAATTATATTTTCCTCTATGTGAAGTGGTTATAGTGTCTGGAGTCCCCTGGCGCTATCCCTCCATTTAGTAGTAAACCATTTTCAAGCAGTTAAAAAAAAAAAAAAAAAAATGTAAAAAAATTGAGGGTCCCTGTCTTCCCATAGCCCCGCCTCCACTAGAGGTGTGGCTAAGACAGATTACGCATTTCCTTCTAATACCGATTTATACCAGCAATGGGCACTATGATAGGCTGACAGCAGTCACTCTCAGCCACCCATTGTGTGCTGTTCAGGTTTTTTAAGACGGCAGAGGATGTTAAATCTGTTTAACACTGAATGGAATGATAAAAAGTAGTTGTAGTTACAATGCCTATAGTGTCACTTTACTATGTCCAGGATTGCTTATTAGATCAAACTTTACATTCAGACACATTTCAGCTAATTAAAGGCAGCATTTATTTCTGTTAATACCGGATGAGAAATCAACTCTGGGAAATTAGGCTGTTCAACTATTCATTTCAAACAAACCTATGGCCTCACTAGTGATTGCTTTGCAGAGTTGACATTACAATACACAAAACACAGGAGTCACAGCATCCATCAGGCAAAACTAAATTTATTATGTTTTAAAAAATAAAATAGAACAAAAACCAAAAAACAAAATTGAACATCACCCACCCCAAACAAAACGGAGAACAGGGAGAAAGGAAAAAAAAAAAAAAAAAAGGCGGTGGGAGGGGGGTTAAGAGGGAGGCTTTGGGGGAAATCACAGGACGTGGAGCAGGATTCCAGAGTTTATGCCCAGCAGGGTGGTTTGAGAAGAGTGCCCTCCATCTTCACGTCTTCCATTCTTTGGGCAACTTAAAGGGGGAGCCAAGTCGTACAATGAGGAGATACACAAGGTGAAATGGAGCGTGAGAAATCTGTTAACCCCATCGCTAGCTGGAGGCAGCACAAACATTGCAGTATGCCCCCTCGAGGAGACAGAGAAACAAGGAGGTGGACTGGGGGATGCAGACTCTAGATCTCACTGCACTGACTGCTCGTTAGCACTGCCACTTGTCTCTTGTGGCTTCATTACATCAGGGAGCTCGGGAGGACTGGAGAAGGAGTCCACTCGAAGAGGCTCAAACGCATCACCTGCAAAACAGAGCAAAGTCATAGCAAAGGGAGGAGTTTATTACATTTACTCATTTAGACAGAAGTGGGCACCACCCTGAGTAACTTACCTCCACTGCGGAAAGCCAGTCCCACTGTAGCTGGGGCCTGGGGCCGAGCAGTCAGGCTGGTGAAGCCACAGTCACCAAGTGTCTTACTTTCATCCAAGAGCTGATCGTCCTAGAACAGAGAAGGACAGAGTTAAACGGGCCAAGAGAGACAACGCCCACTAGTAAGAGAGCAAGCTAGAGGTTCTCACCTTGTATAGTCGCTGGTCCTCAGGAGGTCGTTTCAGGATCCCCTCCACAATCCGCTTCAGCTCGTACACTGTTGTGCTTTCCTTGGCATCTGTAAAAATTGTTGTTTTGTGCCGGCGGATCATGAGAAACACATCCTAGGAAGAAAAGGACCGGTTTAGATCAATGGTGACTTCCAGAAAACCTAAGCCTCTCTTCCTCTACTTCTGACAGGCTCACAAATAATCAGTGCTGAGGTTACCAATTTGTGTTCAGACTCCAGGACACAGAATATTTCAACTTGTTTAATAAGACGTTCTTTCACTAAAACAAATACGACTTAGTCGACTCTTTTTCCTCATTTCAGTGTTTTGAAACATTTCACAGAAAACCCCCAAGCTGTTACTACAGCATTCCGTATCAGATTGTGGCTACACATTTATATGAAATCATTGCAGCTTAATGTAATGTACATGGTGGAAGGAGCAAACGCTCTCTCCCCACACCCCACACACGACCACTAGAGACAGAGCGCATGCTCCCCCCCACCACACACTAGACACAGAGCGCACGCTGCCCCCCACCACGCACTAGACACAGAACAAATGCTCCCCCCCACACACAGAAGAGACAGAGCAAACGGTCCCCCCACACACACTAAACACAGAGTGGGTATCCCTCTATCCAGGACAGGCTGTGTCCCCCCTCCCTCTCAATCAGGACGAACACTTTGTCCCCCCTCCTCTCTATGCTTCTGGACACAGGCTGCTGTGTCCCCCCACCCCTCCCTCTCTCTATCAGGACGGGCTATTGTCCCCCTCCCTCTATCCAGGACGGGTATTACCCCCTCTTTCTCTATCCAGGACGGGCTGTGTCCCCACTCCTCTCTCTATCAGGACGGGCTGTGTCCCCCCTCCCTATCCAGGAGCCAGGCTGTCCCCCCTCCCTCTCTCTATCAGGACCCAGGCTGGCTGCCCCCGCCTCCCTCTCTCTATCAGGTGGGGCAGCGGCCTGCCACCCCCTCCCCTCTCTATACCAGGACGGGCCGTGTGTCCCCCTCCCTCTCTCAGTCGGGACGGGCCGGTGTGGTCCCCTCCCTCTCAATCCAGGACGGGCGGTGTTCCCCCCTCCCTCTCAATCAGGACGGGCTGTGTCCCCCTCCCTCTCTCTATCCAGGACGAGGCTGTGTCCCCCCCTCCCTCTCTCTAATAGGACGGGCTGTGTCCCCCTCCCTCTATCAGGACAGGCTGTGTCCCCTCTCTCTATCAGGACGGGCTGCTTGTCCTCCTCCTCTCTGTCCGGGCTGGTGATACACTCCCTCTATCAGGACCGGGCTGTGTCCCCTCCCCTCTCTATCAGGACGGAGGCGGCTCCTGCTCCTGCAATGGGACCAGGCTTGTGTCCCTCCCTCTCTGTCGGGACGGGCGGCCCTCCTCCCTGCCATTTCGGGGTTGGGGCGTGCACTCCCTCTCTCAATCAGGACGGGCCGTGTTCCCCCCCTCCTCCTCAGTCGGGGCGGGCTGTGTCCCCCTCCCTCTCTATCGGACGGCTGCGTCCCTATCAGGACAGGCTGTGTGTCCCCTCTCTCTCAGGACAGGCTGTGCCCCCCCCCCTCTTTTTCCTCATTTCAGTGTTTTGAAACATTTCACAGAAAACCCCCAAGCTGTTACTATGTAGTAGAAAATAAAGGTACACTCCACACACTCAAAGCAGCACAGTTCACTAAAGTGCTTTATGTATTTGGGGTTTCATTTTTTCCCATTTGTAAATGTGCAGATTTCAATAGAAACTTATAATAGTCCGACTGGCAGCCAGGAAGGTTGTCTTCCACGACCTCCACAGAACGAATGAATTGCCTTCCACCCTTCTCATTGAGAAGCCCCGGGCTGGAGGTGTATTTTCCGACACGAACTGAAACTAGGTCAGGGAATGAGGGGAGGCCTTGCAAATGCTGCAGAGTCAGTCTGCAGCTTTTGCAAGTGGTTTTTCTTTAACAAACTGCATGTTTTTTACAGTGTTCTTTATTTTGTGGTATATATTTAAAACTGTGAATTAACTTTTTCAATTAAAGGCTGGTTTTATTATTTTGTAATAACTTTTCTTTAACTGTATGAAGATTTAACACCTGACATTACCCAGTTGAGTCCTGGCATAACTGCATTACACACTGCATTAGAGAAGTGGAAACAGAAGTCACCTCAGTAAAAGTAAGGCAGTAAAAGGGACAGTCATTCAGTTCCTGGATCGAACATGGATTTCTCACAAATACAGGTACAGTGGAACATCGTAACGTGAACGTTCCCGAACAAATTGGAAGTCGAACTAAAATTTCACATAAAGTGTCTCAGTATGCGAACAATCCTCGGTACCCAAACACATCATGCAGCATTCACAGAGGGACACAAGTGATGAGGAAATATGGGCAGATGGACTATGTAAAGGGATAGAGGGGAATATAGGGAGAGCTAGGCACGAACTCCACTTTTGCTGTTTGCAACGGACCGCTTAACCCGTCAATCCTATAACCAGAATGTACCTATCGGAGGTGGCTTGGGGAGGAGGGGAGGTGATTCATGACAGCAAGAAACTACTGTACTTACTTTTCTCTCCCTGTCCTCCTGCAGGCTAGTTTGATTGGCAATATAATATACTAATACGTGGCTGACTGTCTGTTTCCTTGGCAATGGAAGGTTCATTCCCCCATTCCCTTACTTAAATCACAGCCCTTTACACTCTTACAGGGACAGACCCTACATTTTGGGTCTATTTTGCTTCACCTGCAATTTTTCCCTTAAAAAGGTTACAGCAAGCACTATAACCACTTCAGCGATTTGAAGTGGTCATGGTTAATAGACACTGTATGTGCAGCATTTTGCACCTGAGGTCCAGTTCCCCGTCTGTAATAAAAAAATCATCCAGGTTATAAGGAAATTCTGTTGATGCCAAGTGATAAAGGAATGAAGTCAAAGGAAGCATTGGTTTCATTAACAGAACACTCCCTTTATGAAGAGCTATAGGAGTTAGAAGAAAGTTTGTAACTGTGACAACCAATCGCTATTTGCCACAATAATAAGCACAAATAAAGCACAGACACACACAAACAGTTTAAAGTGAACCAGACTGCCCATCCCACGCAGGTCAGGGATCTGTGATATAAACCTGTACTACAGCATTCCGTATCAGATTGTGGCTACACATTTATATGAAATCATTGCAGCTTAAAGGACCACTCTAGGCACCCAGACCACTTCAGCTTAATGAAGTGGTCTGGGTGCCAGGTCCAGCTAGGGTTAACCCATTTTTTCATAATTATAGCAGTTTCAGAGAAAGCCTTCCCCCTAATCCTCTAGTGGCTGTCTCATTGACAGCCACTAGAGGCGCTTGCGTGCTTCTCACTGTGATTTTCACAGTGAGAGCACGCCAGCGTCCATAGGAAAGCATTATGAATGCTTTCCTATGTGACCGGCTGAATGCGCGCGCAGCTCTTGCCGCGCGTGCGCATTCAGCCGACGGGGAGGAGAAGAGGAGGATTGGAGGAGGAGAGCTCCCCGCCCAGCGCTGGAAAAACGTAAGTTTAACCCCTTTTCCCCTTTCCAGAGCCGGGCGGGAGGGGGACCCTGAGGGTGGGGGCACCCTCAGGGCACTATAGTGCCAGGAAAACGAGTGTGTTTTCCTGGCACTATAGTGGTCCTTTAATGTAATGTACATGGTGGAAGGAGCAAACGCTC